ATTCATAGGTTCATGAGTTTATTTTCATGCCTTATTCAACAAAACTTCATTGAGATTCAAGTTTCATCATTGAAAGTGCTTTAAAGTAATGTCATGACAAGGTATACTATGATTCATCATGCCTCAATTTGTCAAAAGAAGCAAGAATTGATTGAAGAAGTTTGACCTAATTGGGACAAGTTCTTGATTTCTTGATCACAAGTGCATAACTCTCTCAATTCTTAATATTTGGAAGTGGTTATTGTTGATATGGTTTCTTATTATCATCCACAAGAACTTCTATTCACATGGAAAAAGTGATTGTGCGAGAAAGATTGTCAAAATTGAAAAGGGATTTCAAGTCATTTTGGTGCTCTAGGAGCTAGGGTTTTGAAATTCTAAGGGCTATATCTTGTTCATATTTTGATATTTTTGAGTGATTCTAAAGATATGCTTCTTTTTAAAGGGTTATCAACCAACCACTTCAAAAGTTTCAAGTAAATTTTGTGTGGAAGATTCCTAATGATGGAGAAAGATTACAAATCATCGAGATATACCATCAAATTCCCTTATGTGACTTCAAAATATCATAACTTGGTCAATTTTTATCTTCTTGAGCCCATTCTTTTTCCGTGTTGATCTTAAGAGTTTAAACTTCAACTCTTATTTTATGTGCAAGTCTTGAAAATGGTTGGAAGATGCCTTAAAAACTCAAAATGTTATAGGTCACCTCATGGATTTTCATCAACTTCACAAGGCCATAACTTTTTCAATACTTAGTATTTTTGAGTGATTCAAGTTTCACAATGCTCTTTGGCAAGTCCACTTCAAGCTAGCATCAATTATCAAAACAACACTTTAGAGGAAGGCCTTGTTTGGAATCAAAATATTATAGGTCACTTTTGAAGAAGAAACTTGAAATTTTTGTAAGTATAAAAGTCAGCATCTTTTTCTCAACTTTGGCTCATCACAACTCCTAGCTCAAGCATCCAATTGATAAAGATTTTAACCTTATCTTTCAAATGCTCCAACAATTATGCCCTAAGACCCCTTGAGCTATGAACATCATGGGTTCAAAATTGGTACCTTGAAACTGAAGTTTTCTCCAAAGTCAGAATTTGAAATCCTTAACGTGGCTTATAAACACCAAATTAGCGCACATTTTTTATCTAAACATCTTTAACCAACTTGCCAAGAGTGAGTTTTGATACTAAGCAAGTCACGCGTTTCTCATGTCCATGACCTCTTGCGATTTTCGCCAAACTCCACTATTTCTTTCAATTCTCATTCCCATTCACTTCCCTATAAATAGATGACCACATTGCACTCATTTACACAAGCTTTGAAAGATAAATACACCATGCCAAAGTTCATTCGTAACTCAGAAATTTGAAATTCCATTTCATAGTTTCAAGCTCCCTCTTCACAATTTCTTTTCATATTCATCATCCTCTATAAACATACAAAATCTCCAACACTTAAACCAAGCAAATCGAGCCATATTCTGAGTTTCAGAAGTTCACTTTTAGAGTTGTTTTCGTGAGCCTCGTTCAGGTAGTTTTCTGAACCAAATCGTTTCAAATAAAATCATATTCTACTCTACTCATCCTTCCGATCCTTGGGCTTCTTACAATTTTTAAAATCGTTGAGAATTGAGTGAGAAATCCAACCTAAAGTGTTCGCTATTATTTTTTGTTTTCTGCACTTTTCTCTTTGCTAAACTTATATAAATTTTCCGCGAGGGTGGAGTTAGGATCGGCTTGAAGAGACGAATCCAATGATATTAGTCTAAGCTTCTAATGTTTCCGTATGAAGAATCTCAAAATCTCATGCGCAGGGTGTCTGGAGGTTGAAGACGACCTACGTGTCGTTCTTCAACCAATGAACGTTGGACATTTATTTTATTTTCATTGGCTATTTGTTTTTTTATTCAGCGTGTTTTGGTTGAGGGTCCATGATATGGACAATACACCAGGTCCTTTGGATCTGTTTACTAACGCGTTTTGACTTTCATCCAGTGGACTACATTGTTTCATTTTATTTTATTAAAATATGATTTAAAAAATTGATTTGGTGTGATTTTCAATAGTGACCATATCATGCACAGCATGTCAGATCCTTTGGTTCTGCTTACTACCGTGTTTTGACAATGATCCAGTGGTCCATATTTTTTGGCTTTATTTTTATTTTTTGATTTTAATATTTATTTGTTTTAAACTTCAAAAATCCATAAAAAATCCATTTCAGGTCCAAAAATTATGAAAACATTCACACAAATATTCTGAAATATTATCTTTCTAATTTTTATTTTTTCACAATTTTATTTTCATATTTGATATTTTTTTTTGTGATTTTTCACTTTCTTTTGATTGTTTTAAATGTTTAAAATCATTTTCTGATTGTTAAAAATTCTTAAAAAATTATGGAAAGGTCCTTTGGTCTTTTGGCAATTTTTGATGACTTTGTTTTATTTTTATTTCTGATTTTACTATTTTTTATCATTTTTTGGTTTGTTTTACTTATTTCTTTTATTTCTAAAAATAGTTTCTTACTTTAAAAAATTCTGAAATTTTTTTCAACATTCATTGACTCATATTTGACCTCTGACTATTTTTTAGAATTTTTATTTAGTATTTTAATATACTTTATATATTTTACCATTTATTTTCTTTTCATTAACCATTTAAATATTGTTTTATTAAATTTTATTTTTTTATTTTTTTTATTTTGGTTCTGACTTGGATTTTATTTGGTGATAAATTCCTCAACCTCATTGAATCTTGGGTTCTGATAGGTTGAGAAACCAAATCCACCAAAATGGATGAATGATGTTGATGATATTTGAAACCATAATTTCATACAATGCATCCCCTCCCTCTTCAACTTATCCCTTTCTTACTTGTAATACATGTTGTTAGAGGATGATCTACATATCATTTCTACAAACATATGGTACATAGATTGCTATTGATCGGCCTTAAAATAGGTTCGACTTCTACATAAGTCCACTTACGATTGCTTAATCTAGCGCTATGTTTTGTCCCAATTTGAGAAATGATCATTTGTGGCCCAAATCTATGTTTGTAAGCCCAAGAATGTTTAATTTGAAACCTTTGATCCAATAAGCTTGAGGTTCATTGTTAGGAGGCTTTGGTCTTATCAATTCTCTAATGAATCTTCATAAATTTTGGTCTAAGTGAATCATTTAAACATTGTTGATCATTTGTTGTTCCCTCGAGAATTTGAAATGAATGATGTACTTGAAAAAAAACAAATGAAACTTGTTGTTGAGAGGCTTTGATTTTATCAATCTTCTAATGAGTTTTCAAATGCAAGTTTCAAGATGGTCATTCAACTAACCTCTAATTTCTAACTCATTAACAATTGACTTTTATTTTATGATTTTACTTTATACCTTTACTTTTACGCACCACTTATTTTAGTATTTACATTTCATGTTATTTTCATCTTTGCTCACTTGAGCATTTGTCTTTATGTCGTTTTATTTTGCTCACTTGAGCTTTAATTTTATTTTTGAAGATACTTAATAACCAACTTGAACAATAAAAAACTTTAAGGTTACTTGGACTATTTTGTTACTATCCTTGGCGTGATGGAGTTATGGACTTCTTGGACTTATGAGTATACACTTTGACTACCCTTGAGACATTGGTGACTTCTATTGTTATTTTGTCTGGAGTTCTTGGGGTTTACCCCGAGATATTAGATTGTTTTTTTTCTTTGTGTGCAAGTTATTCTGATGATATGCTTTGACTGTGATTGAGAATTCATCTGTGTACAACTGTTACTCTGCCCAATTTTTGTGAAGACATGATGCATTTGAAGTTTGGTATTCTTAAGAGGTTTATTGTCTTTGCTTGTTTGGTTTCAATCTAAAGGATGAGAATTCTACATTACCTCATTGTGTCAAGTGTTGGCTTCTTGTTGGTTAGGCGGTTCTTTTCCATAGCTTTTACCTTATGCTTTAGGATAGTCCCTTCATCTCCTCCCATCTTCTTTAATTTCAAAAAACTTCTCCCTCCTTTTCAAAACTATTCTTATTTTCTAACTTGAATCGCTTTCATAATAAACTTGGACTTAGGTCCATGCATTTTCAAAAATATTTACTTAATCAAACCTTAAACAATTTAATAATACCTTGACATTTTTGTGAGAAGACTAAAAGTCAATCAATCTCATTCAAACCATTTTTCTATTTTGGATTTTTACTTTAAAACATTTATCAAAAGATTAGACTCTTATCAATTCTTGTAGTGATGCGAGCTACTATACTTCTACGATATATAGTGAAGTGAGATATTTTTCACTTGGGTGTTAAGCAAGATTTTGTTGATTTTAAAATCCAAACTATATCCTTCACTTTGAGATGACGCAAATTCTCCTTTCTCATAATCGTGGGTAGTAAGTATTCTTTCCAGTCAGATAAGACGATGATGTCTTGTCTCTTAAAATTAACCAACACATTTGTGTTTTAAAATTTTTAAAGGTGAACTACGAGTACCCTGATCCCCTATTGCAAGGAAGGTGGTACATAGGCACTAAAGGTTCGCAATTGCGACGAATGCAAAAATTATAAAAAATACTTCTTTTCCCATCTCCACCGTCTATTTTTGTATACAACAGTTATAGCCAAAATACACAAATTTTTAAAGAGGTTCCTGCGGAGTAACGTAGATGTTTCGGGTGCTAATACCTTCCCTTTGCATAACTAACCCCCGTACTTAGATTCTCTCCCTTTTTTTTTTGGGTTATTTTCTCTTTTCCCATTCCTCTGAAAACAATAAAGTGCAATGGAGATTTTTATTTGATTTGTGCGAGTCAAATCAATCCAATGACTTAGTCTCAATATTTCTACCGCTACACACGCTACGTAATCAAAAACATAATGTTAATATCACAAAACAACCAGTCAATTCAAAATGACAATAATTAACCAAAATGGGAATATTATGATATGACATGCATGAAAAGAAAAAGAAAATTTGGGTAATTGAACTGCAATGTTAGCAAGAGGGGTAGTAGCTATAAGATATGAAGTAGCACCAGTAGACTCTAGATTAAGCTGTGAAGGATCAAGAGGAAAAAATAAGTGGAACTACCATAATGTTCAACAACACCTTTATAGATTCCACTTGAGCGAGGACTCAAGCTTCACTTGCTTTCATATCGGCCTTGATCTTTTCCTTCAACTTCTCCCGACCCTCTCCAGCTTCTTTTTCTACGACTTCATTCTGACTCATTGAAATAAGCTCTCGCATCAGCAAACATCATACACTTTTTGGCTTGATTTCTCTAGATATTAATAAACACCATTTGTATCCCGATAATATCTCATCATAGAAACTCCATATTTGTCCAGAATATTTGGAGCTTCTAACAAATCTTCTTCCATGGACACAATCCCATCAAACTCTAGAATCAGCTTAATAAAAGATGTGAAAAATATAGACCTCTTTGGATTTTCCTTGCAATAAAGCATCCTTTCAATAATGAATTTTATCCAATTAAATCCACTATTGGAATGAAGAGCCTACATCAAGTAGAGGTTAGAATCATCAGCCCTAGCCAACTTTTAGGTTAATTGTAAAACGCTTTAACAGTCATCCAGTGTAGAATTTGTATATCAAACCTAACTTGGCTAATGTGTAAGTTTATCATGCCAAGTTGATCACAAACAGACTTAGAAATTTATTGAACAAACGAAATCCTATCATACTCAGTTGATCCAGCAACAATGAGACTCAAAACTTCAGACTTCAAACCAAAGTAAGTAGTAAAATCAAAGTAGATAAGCTTAATTACACAGTCTTTGAACTTACTTTCAAGTCATGTAGTGGTCAACTAAAGGTTGTAGTGGAAGGCCTTGACATTATGAGAGTTGAACTTTTTGTTCAAACCAATAAACTTTAATAATTTGTGGTTCACAAAAGGTTGAAGGAATTTTTCCCTCAACTAAATTTCAAAGGTTTTGTCAACATAGTACTTAGGTTCAATAGCCTTATTCATAAACTTATCAGAGTACAATTTCAAATTTCCTCAGGCAACAAATGCTTAACCTTGTGATAGACAACATAAATAGTTTGGTTTGAAGAAGAATGCTTACTTGCCTTTTCGCAACTCTTGCATCATATTAGTATTTGGTAGCTTGCATCTTACTTCATGGATTCTTTGGAATAAGAAGAGATTGGATTGATGATGAAATTTGTCTCTTTCCATTTTTATTTTCTAACAAATTCTTTTATGGGAGACTTGAAGACATGATGATGATGATGATGAGGTTTGAAGTGCATAAATGAGTTTGATGGAGACTGGTGTGAGAGATGATGATATGAGATGAATGAAGAATAAGATTTATGATGAATGGATGTTATGAGAGTTTTCGAAAAATGAGTTTTTTTTAGATGAGTGTTTTTGAAATGAAATGAAAAGTGGAAAGTTGAATGAATAACTGAATAAATTAAAAAAAATCGTGATTTTTGGGTTTGTGATTCGAATCAAGTAGTAATTGTAATTCAAATCATGGGTTTTTATTTTAGTGAAAAATTCTTTGATTAGAATTAAGTGTGAATCCTGACTCAAATCAAACAACCCCAAAATGCCACAACTCTCAGACTTGTGATTCGAATCAGGTTAAAATGGTGATTCGAATCAAGGAGCAAAATTTTAGGGAAAAATTTAAGAAAATTTTAGTGCATGAGAAAAAGGTTTTAATGAAATGCAAAACTTTAATGATGATGTTAATGATAAATAACTTTAATGATGATGTTAATGATGAATAAATGATAGAAACAAATGGTTATGCATGAACGGATGAATGATGCATATATACATACAATGAACATACAAAATAAAATTTAAACTGATGCATTGAATGATTAAGGCAAGAGATGCACAAAAATATCACATAGACATACACATTTCAAACATAGAACACATTTTGGCACTCAAATAATTATAACATGTATACAAAAAAATAAATAAATGAGAATTGGGAAGATCATACCATTTAGACGACTTAGGTTTAACTTACACGAAAACGGCTAGTAATAAACAACATGAATATCATAAGAAAAAATACGATCAATCATATACTAATTGGATACAAATCCTCTTGCATGTTAAAAGAATACTATCAAACTCTCTTTCATAAGTCTTTAGATAAATGTGAATGACGATTGTTTTAATTATCATTGATTGACATATATTATCAATCTTGAATAACTGTTCAACTCTTTGTCAATTATTAGCACTTCAAGGAACACATTTATACCATTGAATATTTTTTAATTGTTGAAACTTCAGAGAACATTGCAAATAGTTACAAACGGCCTTCCTGTTCTTTTTACGATAACCTTGGAAGAATATGTCACTAGAAGATGCTTTTTGTTACTTTCTCTTATATCTCAAAAACATGAAGCACATTGTTGTGTAAATGCACATCCATATTTAATTAGGATCAATCAAGGGAAAATTTTAAGACATAGTGCCAGGTTTCTGGTTACATTGCACATACCTCAAAATATTGTCAGTTCAATCCTGGATGTATCAAAACTTGGAGAATATTTTAAATACAATTAAAGTTTGAAGAATATACTAGTAAAGTTTTACTTTAAGTTAATCTATGTAATGCATGCAATTAATGATGATACATTATGATATCAATGTAATATAATTCGAATTCATTGAATTGCATAAACTTCCAAATAAATAGAAAAACTCGTCTTGGATCCAAGGAACCATATCCTTAACTTTTGGAGTCGCAAGACTTTCATCAAAAGCCTCGATTTGATACCAATTATTGGGTGAGAATATGGACACAAAGAGGTCTAGAAGGGAGTTGAATAGACTTATCCTCTAAAAGACAATTTCAAAAACATTAGGTCCCATAAACAAAATCAGAGATTTTTAGAAACGCATAAACAAAACACAACAGTAAAAGAGCTTGGAAGCATCTCAATGAATTAAACCAATTGAAATATTGCATGATATTTCTAAGAACTCGATTAATTCTAATGCAAGTAAATTATAAGACCATCAAAGTCTCTTTAAATAAAGAGATTTAAAAATACTTTACATAGATGTTCATTAATTGAATTTATGATGATCCATTAAGATTGATGCATTGCAGAGCTAAGCTTACACATTAAATCTCTATAAGCACAGTCTAACCTAAATGACATACAAACAATTCAAAAATGCACTGACGCAATAGAAATATTAATGAATACTAGAAAATTAAAAGAGGTAAGGAAAGAGAGAAAAGATACACAGAGATATATAGTGTCTCTACATTTGTCCTCGCTTTGCTTAATCCACTCTTCAATGGTGTTAAAGAACCATCAGGATATAATCACGATCTTCACTATTTTGATAAGTTTGATATAAGAATTTTAATTACAATGAACTATCACACGATAATTCCATTTATTGATGCTGACGCTCAAATTGCTAACAAAAACAAGATCCTCAAAGATCTTGGAACAATAACCTTGTTATACATAATAGCCTGCTCCGAGAATTTGTGTGTGGCAATCCACCTGGTCCCACCGATTTCTTGTTTGAATGATTCCCATTAACTAAGTGTTGATTGAACAACTCTCAACTTTGTCTCCGACCAGTCTTTCCATAATCTCACCAAAGTTGGGCAACTTTTAACTCCTCCTTACAATAATATGTACTTGACTTTGCCAAAGTTTTCCATGAAGTTTACTAAAACCCTCTTCACATAAAAACATTAGATACTCTAATGTCCTACTAGTCTCTTTCAACACACAATCTTTATAGATATATGTCCAGAACAATGGAAAATGACTAAGGATAAAGATGATGAATAATGCCAAATGAATCTCACAAACACTCTAATTTACAATGTGTTAATCAAGGAATTAGAAGTAGGTGAAAGAAGAACACACACAAATATTGTCCCTAGTTTTTAGATAAATGGGTCTTGGATCATGATGGATATCATGATCTTGGTCAATCATGAAACTCTACAAGATTAATCAACTCACTCTCTCTAATTCCCTAAAAAACAACAAATTGAGCAAGAACAAAATGCAACAAAAAGAAGTGAATCTGACATGGATTAATACTCAAGAAGTTTTTATAGAAAACAAGAGAAAGATTGAAGATGCTACGAATAGACACACTAAAAGAGGAGAATACAAATTGACATTTTTTCTCTATGGGTTTCACCCACATAGATTTACACACTTGTTTTGGTACAAAGAAACAACTATTTAAATCTAAGGTGGAAAATTTGATTTGTGAAGCTATGATTTTAGTGAAGAAGAAATTATTAATTGAATCAAAAATTGTTGTGATTCGAGTCAAGTTCAACTCATGATTCGAGTCAAATTAAGAAGATCCCAAGTCTAGCTTCAAGGAGTGATTTGATTCAAGTCAGAATTACAACATAATTTGAGTCACATGAGGCAGTGATTCGAGTCACATGAGGCAGTGATTCGAGTCAAGTTAATTTAGTGATTCGAGTCAAATTGTCCATAAGCAAATTATAATGTTCACAATGTCCGTGATTCAAGTCACATATAACACTTGATTAGACTAAAATGAATTTCCACCTTAATCTAAGAGTTCTAACTTGTTGTTCATGCCACACTTGATTAAACGACAAAAAGCAATTTTCTAGGCTAAAAGCATAACACTATCATGGATAAACTCTCTAGTTTTATTAAGTAATTAAGGGATTTAATGGTACAATTCTAACTAGCCAAAATGAATACAATACAACTCAAATGCGAATGAAATACAAGCCCGGGAATATTTGAATAATAAGCAAATTACCAATAAGTGAATAATCAAATATCATATACACTCAAATTGACGGAAAAAAATCAAAACAAAGAATATGATACCATATGATAACGTGATTGAACTTTCATACTAACATCTTCTCTCACATGTTAGGTGTTTTTTTTTAAGTTAGTCTAAAACTTCATTGTTCCTTGTATAAGGGGGTTCGAGAGTTTAACCTACTAAAAGTTCTTAAGAATTATTAGATACTCTCAAGATAAAATCTTTGGAAAAGGATTAGGTTACTTCATTTAGACCGAATCTCTATAATTTATGGTGTTACTTCTCTTAACTTTAACTCTTTATTTTTTTATTATTCATTTTTATGTTGCTAATTTCTTAAAAATGTTTTCAAACACTATGCCAAAAATAAGTTTTAGCAGCACATAAAAGAAAGCGCTTTTGAAAAAAAGCGCTGCTGTAGGTTTTA